CTACATCATGAAAATCTCTGTAAGGGTTCTAAGAAGCAAGATCACCCACTTAGATACCCATCAGTTGAACAACCCAGGGCTTAGAGTGGGTTGCTCCTACCTATCCCAACTACTGGACCACTATGACATGGTCTTGGATGCTCTATAGGACCAACAAAATGAAGATGAAGAATACACAAATTTTGCAAAAAGCCTTCGACAACTGCGATCGTGGTGTAATAGCACACAAAATGCGTGATAAAGGAATAACAGAAAAAGTGGGTAGATGGATCTATAACTTCCTAATAAATAGAATACAAAATGTAATAGTAAACAGAGTAAGGTCTGAGGCAGCTACAGTGAAAAGCTCTGTTCCACAAAGCACAGTACTTACTCCCATCCTGTTCCTCATCCGCATATCTGACACACACAGAGATTTAAGCCACAGCTCTGTGTCTTCCTTTGCGGATGACACCCGAATTGCCATGACAGTGTCTTCCATCGAAGGCAATGCAAGACTTCAAGCAGACATAAACCAAATTTTTAAATGGACCGCATAAAACATTATGAAGTTCAATGACGACAAATTTCAATTACTCTGCTATGGAAAATCCCAAGAAATAAAGACTGGATCGGAATATAAGACAAAATCCAACCACGCAATAGAGTGAAAAACTAATGTGAAACACCTGGGATTGATAATGTCAGAAAATCTCACTTTCAAAGATCACAACAATATATCTACCACATCTGCTAGGAAAATGATAGGATGGATAATGAGAACCTTCAAAACCAGAGATGACAAGCCCATGATGATTCTCTTCAAATCGCTTGCTCATCCTAAGCTGGAATATTGCTGTACACTAACAGCCCCTTCCAAGGCAGGCAAACCTTGAGAATATGCGTACAGAGAATTTTCATAGCACGTATAGGTACAATAAAGCACCTAAATTACTGGGAACAGTTGAAGTCCCTTGATTTGTACCCCCTGGAATGCAGGCACGTACGATTGTATCTTGGAGAGGATCCCAACCGTTTTGGATACTTTTTTGGTTATGTGTTGGATATGGGTGCTGAAATTTAGGTTGTTGTCGAGGTATAGGCCTAGGAATTTGCCCTCATTATGTCTGGCAATTAGAGTGTCGTCGATCTTAATGTTAATTTGCGCATCTCCTGCTCTGCTACCAAACATAATGTACGTAGTAGGTTTTGTCAGTGTTAAGCCTAAGTTTATTGGCTGTCATCCAAGTTGATATTTTGATCAGCTCCTCGTTAACAATGGTGTTGAGGGTGGCAAGATTAGGGCGAGAGATGACATAAGTCGTGTCGTCAGCAAAGAGAATGGGGTTCAGGTGTTGAGATACGTTTGGAAGATCATTGATGTATATGAGGAAGAGCAGGGGACCAAGGACACTTCCCTGTGGAACTCCAGTATCAAGTGGCCGTGTTGTTGATGCTGTGTCTTTAATGATGACATACTGATACCTATTAGTAAGGTAAGATTTGAAACATAATTCGTTCCAGAAGGCTGTTCGAGTGCCGATCTGTTCGAGTACCGAACAAATTTTTCCTATAAGGAATAATGTTAATTAGATTAATAATGCCTGGTATCACTAATCTTTTTAGGCTCCATGGCGACTTGTTTATACGGATGTAAAAAGCACCAAACAAATGCGAAGAAACACGAAATAGTTGAAAGCGAAGTTCTGGCAGGTAGTGTTTGTTTGGTCTAGTGCCAAGCAAACGGATGACTACCGAGTGATTTTTTTACCGAATAAAGCATTTGAATACCGAATTGTTTGAGTTGGGAGTCGTTCAAGTACCAAGGTACTACTGTATATTTACCCTCAACCCAAAACTCCTAACAGAGGGCACCTATCCTTCTAACAATAAAAGGATACCAGAGTGCCAGAGTTAATAAACATAAAATATGCAATTAGTTGAGCAAATGATAAAGTTTTGCATTCATACACACAGGGTACAGAGATGTATAAATAAACACCAGCAACTTAACCCCCAATTATGTCCATTATGAACTAGATTGTCATACTGATCAGCATCCATGACATACTAGCATGCACAATTCATAACACCTTCAAATCTTCATGTGGCAAATTTTGGTCTAGACATGAGAGAAGGAGTCTGTAGCGGTCATGAAATAAATAATATATATATTTATTTATTATGCAAAAATCACAAACAAGTGATACAAGATACGAAACAACCACAGGGGGGTCGAGTGATAGCTCTAGGCCTTTTGTGTTGCAATCAACACATTCTCAGGAGCCTGCAATATTGCAGAGAAGAGGTGGTGGTCCAAGCAAATACAGTCACAGGTAGCATCTTGCTGGAGTTAGGCAGAGAAGCTGTAGGCAGAAGGCAGGATGTACCCCTAGGTATACCAATACCCACAGCCAGAAAGATTGAATATTATGGCACTAGAAAAACAGACAGCCCACAACCACTGATTCTGTAATAGTAGCCTAATGAAATTGACATGGCAATTATCAAATATTTGGTCAGAACATGCTATGGTATAAATAACTTTGCATACCAAATATAGATATCACTAGTAATTATCTTAGGCATTTTCATACCTCTAGAAAGTGCGTTCATTTAAAACAACACATTTTAATAATAATAATATTATTTTATTTTAACATGATACATAGTTGTACAAAGGAATATAATAGTCGAGTGTACATGCCAAAAGCCCCTTGAACTACAGACCAATAGCACTAACATCCCATATCATAAAAATCTTTGAAAGGGTCCTAAGAAGCAAGATCACCACCCATCTAGAAACCCATCAGTTACACAACCCAGGGCAACATGGGTTTAGAACAGGTCGCTCCTGTCTGTCTCAACTATTGGATCACTACGACAAGGTCCTAAATGCACTAGAAGACAAAAAGAATGCAGATGTAATATATACAGACTTTGCAAAAGCCTTCGACAAGTGTGACCATGGCGTAATAGCGCACAAAATGCGTGCTAAAGGAATAACAGGAAAAAGTCGGTCGATGGATCTATAATTTCCTCACTAACAGAACACAGAGAGTAGTCGTCAACAGAGTAAAGTCCGAGGCAGCTACGGTGAAAAGCTCCGTTCCACAAGGCACAGTACTAGCTCCCATCTTGTTCCTCATCCTCATATCCGACATAGACAAGGATGTCAGCCACAGCACTGTGTCTTCCTTTGCAGATGACACCCGAATCTGCATGACAGTGTCTTCCATTGCAGACACTGCAAGGCTCCAGGCGGACATCAACCAAATCTTTTCAGTGGGCTGCGGAAAACAATATGAAGTTCAACGATGAGAAATTTCAATTACTCAGATATGGTAAACATGAGGAAATTAAATCTTCATCAGAGTACAAAACAAATTCTGGCCACAAAATAGAGCGAAACACCAACGTCAAAGACCTGGGAGTGATTATGTCGGAGGATCTCACCTTCAAGGACCATAACATTGTATCAATCGCATCTGCTAGAAAAATGGCAGGATGGATAATGAGAACCTTCAAAACTAGGGAGGCCAAGCCCATGATGACACTCTTCAGGTCACTTGTTCTATCTAGGCTGGAATATTGCTGCACTCTAACAGCACCTTTCAAGGCAGGTGAAATTGCCGACCTAGAAAATGTACAGAGAACTTTCACGGCACGCATAACGGAGATAAAACACCTCAATTACTGGGAGCGCTTGAGGTTTCTAAACCTGTATTCCCTGGAACGCAGGAGGGAGAGATACATGATTATATACACCTGGAAAATCCTAGAGGGACTAGTACCGAACTTGCACACGAAAATCACTCACTACGAAAGCAAAAGACTTGGCAGACGATGCACCATCCCCCCAATGAAAAGCAGGGGTGTCACTAGCACGTTAAGAGACCATACAATAAGTGTCAGGGGCCCGAGACTGTTCAACTGCCTCCCAGCACACATAAGGGGGATTACCAACAGACCCCTGGCAGTCTTCAAGCTGGGACTGGACAAGCACCTAAAGTCAGTTCCTGATCAGCCGGGCTGTGGCTCGTACGTTGGTTTGCGTGCAGCCAGCAGCAACAGCCTGGTTGATCAGGGGCTGATCCACCAGGAGGCCTGGTCACAGACCGGGCCGCGGGGGCGTTGACCCCCGAAACTCTCTCCAGGTAAATTCCAGGTATACAGAGCATTTCGGGCAAACTTACAATTAACTTAAGATTAATTAGGCTTTAATAGGTCTAGTAGAGAAGTTTAATAGTGAATAATTACAGTTTTGAATTATTTTATAAAAATTACAGTATTACATTTGAACAATTTAAACAATTTACAATATGAAGTACAACCGAGTATTTAAAATGATGAAATTTGACATTACAATTTTGAAGCTTACAGTTTTACAATAGAACAATTTAAATCTACAAAATGAAGTATTACAATTTAGTATTTCAAGACAATGAAATTTGAACATCCTGATTTTGAAATAATGAGTACACGAGTACATTTCATACAATGGGAGAAATGTTTAGGAGCCCCTTACACCTCCAGATCCATTTTATGGATTTTTAATAGGTAGACAACTTTTTATTGGGTAATCAAATAAAAATGTAGCCTAACTTAACCCAGATTAAGTTAGCTAACTTATTTTTTCTTGAATGGAAAGTTTACAAGGAATTGTCTTTCCCATAGACAAAATGTAACTTGTCTTCATTGCACAAGCCAGGTGTTATCACTGAAGTGCCATAATAAATTATCACCGAGCTTAAAATGGAAACCCTAAACTCAATACAGTATTAACTTAAAGTAGTATAATATGGTGACTTAACCTAGACCTTTGCAGGATTACAAAGGAAAAACTTTCACTTCTAAAGCTTCAATAATAAAATGTTGTCCAGAAATAAAATATTGAAAAGAGAATCTTTAAAGACTGCTAAGTCACCATGCAGTGACAGAAAAATGTCATATCATTAGTATTGATAAAGTTAAATTAGAGGCGGAGCTCAGGTCTCTTAAATCTTAAACAAAATACTTACAACATGGCCGTCAGTGTTCTGTGCGTCAGTAATATTACACAGCAGTGGCTTGGTATCATCCACGAGCATCCTGTCATCTTTCGTCTTCTCAAAAACAGACATTATGAGAGAAGTTCTGGTGCCGTGGTGCCGCCATCAGCTGACTCTGGTAAACACCCACCATCTACACCTCTCAACCAACGTTCAAACAAGAACAATTCTTGTACATTTCTCATGCAATAAAAGTTACTTAACAACATCGTTAAACAGTCTTTCGCAATTATCTCATTCTTTCACTATTTTAATGTTACTGTTCTGTATTATACACTTTCCGAAACTTTATTTATACAGAATATTAACTGTCAACTACAAATGCACGCTTAATTAAATAAAGAAAAAAGTTTTATTTAGACTTTGCTAATATATATTAAGTGACTTTCTAGAGGATACGAAATTGCCTCAAAAAAAAAAATTCGTCATAACTGTATCAAAATCTTTAAATAAAGTGAACTTCTCAATCATTATATGCTGCTTAAAAATAAAAAAAATATTTTAAATAACAGTTATCATGTGTGCACACATGTTATTGACACAAAAACGTACATTATTGTTTATTTTGTGTGACAATATGATATTTTGAAAAAGATGGTGAATAAGTAAATAAGTTTATTCAGGTATTTATACAGTTACATAGATTATCATACATAAGTTTCAGGGGCCCGAGACTGTTCAACTGCCTCCCAGCATACATAAGGGGGATTGCCAATAGACCCCTGGCTGTCTTCAAGCTGGCACTGGTCAAGCACCTAAAGTAGGTACCTGACCAGCCGGGATGTGGCTTGTACGTTGGATTGCTTGCAGCCAGCAGTAACAGCCTGGTTGATCAGGCTCTGATCCACCAGGAGGCCTGGTCACAGACCGGGCCGCGGGGGCGTTGGCCCCCAGAACTCTCTCCAGGTAAACTCCAGGGTACATAGTAGCATATGTGTAAAGTACCTAGGATAACCCAAAAAGTTAGACAGTGGCTTATTTCCATTGGGGTCCTTTTACCTTATTATAATATAAAGGAGATAATATCTTATTATTATTCTATAAAGGAGATAATATCTTACTATTATTCTATAAAGGAGATAATATCTTATTATTATACTATTAAGACTGTCTACTACACGAGGGTCATTAAGACTATCTACATTATGAGGGTCATTACTAGGAATAAGGTAAAATTAC